TTGTTTTTAATAGGGACTCGGACTTGGGGTTAATACTCAGTTGTTGTTGTTTAGTCGTTAAGTCATTTCCAACTCTTCGTAACCAATGGACCAGAGCACACCAGGCCCTCCTGTCTTCCACTGCCTCCCAGAGTTTGGTCAAAAGTAAGACTCAGTCGTTGATACCAAAGACTCAGACTCAGTACTTGGACTTAAAGACTTGACAACATCCCTGGTACAAAGTATTAATCAGGCGGCTTGTTTCATTTCCTATCCTCATTGTCACCTTGCACAAGAAATCATGGTCAACACAGTGCTTTTATGAATGGGTTTCCCCATCGTTCAAAATATGTATACCTTTGCATGTGAATGACTCTGGTTTTCTGAATTGTAAAACCTTGATTTTTAGTTGGGGCATACAGACGTCACTGCCAGGAGAATCTGAAGTAGGTATTCTTTTGAGGTAGAGAGAAGAATGAATATTTTTAAAAAAAGATAGCACCTATCAGCCATGGATTTATAAGCAAAATCAAAGAGTTAGTCAAGACCTGTAACATCATCATCACCACCACCACCACCACCACCACCACCACCAACAACAACAACAACAACAACAACAACAACAACAACAACAACTGCGGAGCTGGAAGAAGCCCTATGGATCATCAAGTCCAGCCCTGTCAAGAAGGCACAGTGGGGAATCGAACTCACAACCGATGCCTAACCACTGAGCCTATCCAGCACTTCTAATCTATGTTCAGAACTGGGTAACTCTGAGCCTTCAGAATTTCTGCCCCGCAGCCTCCCAAGGCTGTAGCTAGTATAGCCAGAGGTGAAGTCAGATGGAGAATTATGGTCTGGAAAATACACGGAAGGTTATAGAAATCCACCCCCATCTAGTCCAGCTTTCTGCTGTTGAACCACCACTGATAGGCCTTGGAAAAGGTTGTCGTTTTGGAATACAAATGCCATCTGTACATCCACAGCGGGTAGGGGGATTCTGGGAGCTGTAGTCCAAAAAAAAAATCTCCCTTGCCCGGATCGGATCTTTAACTGGTAGGGCTGCCTGAGAAATTAAGTGGCCATGCAGGGGAAGAGAGCAAGATTCTGTGCGTTTTCTGCATTTTGGTTCTTCGTTAAGCGTCCTGCCCATCCAGAAAAAGAAAGAAAGCCACCATCCCTCTGAGGCAGTCCACAACTGAACAGCTTGTATCACGTGAATAAATATTAACCATTACGGGCCACCAAGTCAGTTCTGACTTATGACGACCTTCTTTTTTTAAAGAGTTTTTCAGGGAGAGGATAGTCAGAAATGGTTTACCGTTCCTATCTTTTGGGGGCCTCCTGGGAGGGTGCAGCTTGCCCGAGGCTTCGTAGGCTGGCTGTGCTCGTAAGAGGCACGCTGGGGACCGGATCCCAAAAATCTCGACTTCCCCAGCCGGATACCTAAACCACTGAGCTACCCAGCCAGCTCTTCCCAAAAGCGATTTCGACTTAACATTTGTATCAGAAATCGTCAATGGTCTTTGCTAAACCTGCAGCCTAATTGAAACACAGACACCTTTTAGACTCTTGGATGTCACTGACTATGGAATTGACATACGGCAGTTGGAGGTCTCCCTCCACTCGCTTGTGTTCAAGGAAGCCTTCAGTCTGGGCTTCATTCTCTGCCTCTTTCTGGCTCAACTGGTTTCGGGGGAAAAAGGCCATCAAAGTTGCTCCCTTCCATTGCTTGTTTATGGGATGCCAGAATGATTTGCTAAACCGGTCCGAAAAGTGTAGCAACGGAGTGTGTGTGTGTGTGTGTGTCCCACCTGAGCATCTGTTTGTGGAAAAACACTGCATAAAACTTTTTTTGTGTGCAAAGTATTTAGATTTCTGTCCAGTTGTTTCTGAAGGCTGAGGGGAGATTAAACCCTTCCTTCATCTCCTCGGGATAGCACTGTGAGGCTAAATTTTAAGAGACCATTTTGCTCACATGGGAGACATTGTGGTGGTGGTGGGGGGTTGGGGCCCCCAGACTATTTATTTAATGTCTTCATTTAAAATATTTTTACCCCACCTTTCTCCTTAAAAGGACACAAGGTGGCTTACCTCATTAAAAGGACAGTATGTGAAAGCTAAATATAAGCGTGCAAATATTTAAAAAGAATTAAGCAGGTATTATATGAAAAATGGTAAATAAAATCAGTACTGAAAAAAACACATGTAAAAGCAAGAGAGCACAACAATCCAGCTTGTGAGGCCTGGGTTCGAATGGCGACCTTTTGCAACCTGGTACGAAACTGGAAAAGGAAGAAAAAGTCGCCATTCAAACCCAGGCCTCACAAGCTGGATTGTTGTGCTCTCTTGCTTTTACATGTGTTTTTTTCAGTACTGATTTTATTTACCATTTTTCATATAATACCTGCTTAATTCTTTTTAAATATTTGCACGCTTATATTTAGCTTTCACATACTGTCCTTTTAATGAGGTAAGCCACCTTGTGTCCTTTTAAGGAGAAAGGTGGGGTAAAAATATTTTAAATGAAGACATTAAATAAATAGTCTGGGGGCCCCAACCCCCCACCACCACCACAATGTCTCCCATGTGAGCAAAATGGTCTCTTAAAATTTAGCCTCACAGTGCTATCCCGAGGAGATGAAGGAAGGGTTTAATCTCCCCTCAGCCTTCAGAAACAACTGGACAGAAATCTAAATACTTTGCACACAAAAAAAGTTTTATGCAGTGTTTTTCCACAAACAGATGCTCAGGTGGGACACACACACACACACACACTCCGTTGCTACACTTTTCGGACCGGTTTAGCAAATCATTCTGGCATCCCATAAACAAGCAATGGAAGGGAGCAACTTTGATGGCCTTTTTCCCCCGAAACCAGTTGAGCCAGAAAGAGGCAGAGAATGAAGCCCAGACTGAAGGCTTCCTTGAACACAAGCGAGGGAAAATGCACTTGGAGTGAGGCTCCAAATTCACTTCCTGATGGTGCAAGACCCGTTGTGACCTCTCGCTCTGTACCTGCCACCGCTTCTGTTCTTTTTCACCCTGCCAAACATCGCCTTGGCCCCACAAAAGGGGTGACGCACAAACAAGATCCCAGCTTTTCCCGGACATGCCCTCTTGTTCAGAAAAGTTCCTTTATTGGAAAGAACCCAAACCAGGCCTTGTTCAGCATGCAAATATAACTGTTTTCTAACTTTGTTTTTTTTTTTTTAAAGGATCTCTTGCTTACAAGCCTTAGCAACACTCTAAAGGTCCCTAAATCCCTGTGGAATTTCTCTGGATCATTTTAGCAACCCACAAGGCTGGCTTTTAATTTCTCCTGCCCTCGGAGGTTTCTACAAACCCTTTGCCTACTGCAGACTCTCTTCCCCCCCCCTCACCCCCAGCTTTGGTGGACCTTTGGGAGTTTTTGGTTTCAAATAATCGCATTTTAAAAAATAATTTCATTTCAGACAGTTCCATCTATCCATCACTTTAGATTCTGAGGAGGGGGGGAGTCCATCTCAGATGTCTTGAAGCTCTCTGCCCCCCCCATCACCCACCACGCATGAAAGATGACCAAAACATCCCAACATGGATCACCCTGCACACACACACACCCCAAAATATATTCTTGTCCTGTCTAGCCACCTGTCCTCCCACTGGGATGCGATGACAACCCCCCCAGACCAACAAAGACACCCCCCACACCGTTCCGAGAGTTCAAGGTCATCACCTCTAACGTGCACTTCCCAAGAAGATCTTCCAGGTTTTCTCCCTTCTGGCTTGGCGTGGCTGTCCAGTTGCTGACGTGCAAGTATACACCCGTGTCTTAACAAGTTGGGGTGGAAGGGGCAAAAATCTCCAGTCAGTCCCAGGAAAAACAGGCGTGGAGCGATCAATTCAGAACCAACTCAAACCAACCTCCCCAGCAGATCCCACTTGCTCCCCTTTGGGATGTCACCGGGAGGATGATGATGATGATGTCCCCAGCACCCTTCTTGTTCCTTCTTGGCCCGATCTCCCTCCTCCTCCCTCTCCCCGCCCTCCTTCTGGGCTGTCGCCGGCTGTGTCCTGCCTCTCCCCCTCTTTCTTAGCTCAGCCTAAGCCGCGGTGATCGACAGCTGTCACTCACCTGGTGGAGGGATCGGCTTCTTAAGCGCTCGGGTCTTGCGGGGGGGAAAAGACCTTCCCCGGCCGCCACCGGCCGCCACGCGCTTTTGGCTGGGCTCGCTCCGCTTCTGGTCCTGGTGTTTGTTTTTTTCCCTTTTGCCCGGTGTTCAAACAAGTTTTACAACCTTTGATTCTAGGGGAGGGGAAAATAAAATTTTAAAAAAATGCAAAGCCGCTGACATCAGAGCCTGAAAGCCGAGGGGGAAGAGCGTAAAGAAACTGCCACGAAAAGGGAACTCACGCTGGTTATTCCCTAACTTTTTTTAAAAACGGGAAACCAGGAAAATCCAAGCCCCCGAAGATTTCATCATCAAGGGCTAAAAGGACACAGAAATCGAGAGAAAAAAAAATTTTTCCTGGACTACAACACCCAGGCTCCCCAGCTATCAGGACCTTTAAGCCAGGCTGGCTTAGGGTATGAGTAGTCCAAAAGAGTAGTTTTCGAAGGTGCTGGAGGAAGAATCTGAGATGGTTCTTACTCCCTACCAGCAAAAAATAAAAAAGTTGGAGTAGCTGCTCCAAGTCAGCCTATTGGAATAAAAGCCTGGGGCAGGCAGGGATCCAACCGGTGAGGTTTTCTGGAGGAAGAGGACCTGGCTCAAGGGCAGAGTGCAAATATTGGTGAGGTCCAAGAGGCGCTGGGAAACTTAAGGGTCCCAAGACCGCAACATTTTGAAGGACGTCTGGTCGTCCAGAGGTGGAGGCTGAAGGGACCAAAAGGGCTGAGGCTGTAGGAGGCGGTTTCCTTGGTAGGACGTTTTCCTGCCCTCTTTTTCTCCTGACAGTTACAACTCCGTCCAGAGGTGGAGGCTGAAGGGACCAAAAACGGCTGAGGCTGTAGGAGGTGGTTTCCTTGGTAGGAAGTTTTCCTGCCCTCTTTTTCTCCTGACAGCTACATCTCGTAATGACTGAGACCGAAGGGTGGAAGGAGATATTTAGAGCCACTCCTTCTAGTGGAGAAACCTGACCTCTAAACTCTGACTGGCTGCATTCCAAAGTGGTGAGGGAAATACACTCGGTGTGCGCTCAGAGAAACTTTGCCTCTTCAATATGATACTGCGCCATTAGGAAAAAGAAAGAAAGGGACTCTCCAGTTCTACCATTGACCAGATTGTCCAATGACCAGTAAGCCCCAGCTTGCTCTCCTGCTGTGTTTTCTATAGTTGTTTACTTTGGAAAAACTAGGACAGGAATCCTTTCAATATGGGAAGGGAAGGGATTGGTTTTCGATATCTACAAGTCCAACAGTTGGCTGGCTAGCACAGGGGTTTAGGTATCTGGCTGTGGAGCCAGAGGTTGGGAGTTCGATTCCCCGCTGGGCCTCCAGGGAGAAAAGCCAGCCTGGGTGATCTTGGACAAGCTGCACAGTCCCAGGACACACACACACACCCGGAAGAAGGGAACGGTCAACCATTTCTATTCTGTTCTCTACCTCGAAAACCCTGGAAGGGGTCTCCATAAGTCAGAATTGACTTGATGGTACATAGTACATACATGCATCTGCTAAACCAAAGGAGTGGTCAAAAATAGACCAGATAGATAGAGAGGGGGGGGGACGGACGGACGGACAGACGGACATACACAGACAGACAGATAGAGAGAGAGAGATGGATGGACGGACGCACGGACATACATAGACAGACAGACAGACAGACAGAGAGAGAGAGAGAGATGGATGGATGGATGGATGGATGGATGGATGGATGGATGGATGGATGGATGGATGGATGGATGGATGGATGGATGGATGGATGGAT